CCATCATAGTTGAAGTGGGTAAGCCAGCACGCTGGCTGCCATTGTCCCCTTACCAGCAGCCCAAATGCTCACGACGATGAGCTGGGCTGTCACCGCTTGGCCGCCGGTGGGGGGGTTTGGGAGGCCGCATCACACACAGACACCCACACACTCCCTCAACTTACACGAACACACACACATACGCAGACTCATTTCCACACGGACATAGACACACGCACAGAAACCCACACACTACCTCAACTCACTCGACTTCACACTTCTCACTACACACTTACCGGATAACTCGCACTCTGACTTCCTACGTGATGAAAAATGCTTTCGGGCCACTCGTCGTCTAGTTGTTGTTTTTTTGGAGACCCTATACTTGGGGAAATACTTGTGTCAAGCCAAAACTAGCAGATGAAGCAGACAAGTCTGATAACTGAGTACAACTCAAAAATTGATGAAAAAGTGCACTTCCACAGCCTGCCGGACTAAAAAAAAAACAACAAACACCGGGCGCCCAGCGGCGGCTAGTCGGTTGTTTGCTTTTCTTCTCTCTTGGTGTAGTTCTGATTTCTATCCTGCGTTCCCGTGGTTAACTTCAACCAACGGGGTCATTCCCCCAGTAGTTGGGCCCAAACGAGGCCTAGGAGACTGCTTGGTTTCAATTACCCTGTCATCTTGCTTCTCCAGTGGGTGGATCCGTGTTTCAATAAGGAGGCCTCCCAAAAACCATCTACAAGAAGGAAATAGAGCAAAACCCTGAAGGCTTCCTGGAGGCCTTGATTCATTTTCGTTAGATTTCGATGCACGCGCATGCATTTGTATAGTTACCGTGGCTCCGTTGGTGTTTGCCTTACTCTCGCTGAGGGTAACCACTGCACAGAGACAGCTGCGCAAGAAACGACAAAGGCAAAGACCTATTGGTTGGTGGTCTCCCTTACCCATATGTACATCTTTGGGCCCAAGCCTTTTTCATGACTGAGAAAAACACCCAGCCTAGCTTCACATCTAAAGCTAGGTCTATCAGGATCCGTTCTATGAGTGGCAGCCAGCAGGCCGCCACGCAATGAATAAAGGTGCAAGATGGTGGGGCTGCAAGTCCTCACTAAGCCTGGCTGCCCGATCCCCCAATGGCTGACAAGCTGCCACAAGGCCCAGCAGCGGGGCAATGGCCGCCACATCACAAGTGTTCGAGAAGGAATATATAGCAAAATTGGCCCTCGACCCAGTTGCTTCAAGTTAGTTACCTTGTCGGACCTTGTCCTGGTTGATAGCCAGCATCAGTAGCAGGATGAGTCCGAGAAACTCGAAGAAAAACTATAAAGTGAGATGGGCTGCTGGACGTTCAGGTTGCGGTAGGAAGCCATCCTAATTTGCAATTGGAAAGGGAAATGGGGCCCATAGAAATTCACCATGTCCCTTCGCGGCTGCTGTTCAACATAAGATTCCAACAAAACGGCTGCAAAGACAATCTTGAGATTCTTCAATCTCAACAGTGCTTTCGAACAGAACAAGTGTCCAAATCGTGGAAGTGAAAAGTGGTTTTCAGAGGCAAAGTTCACAAGTTTATGACTATGGAACAAACTGTTTGAACAAACAACAAGTTTATAGCAACATGTTTCAACTAACAAGATTACAAGGTTAAATACATTATAAACAATGTTCAGAACAAGCATAAACAATGCTTTAAACAATATATTGAACAATTTAACAAGTGTATAAACAATGGTTTGAACACTATAACAATGTTATAAACAATGTTCTAAACAATATAACAATGTTATAGATAATATGTTTAACAATATAACAATGGTACAGTATAAACAATGTGTAAAGCAATATAACAATGTTATAAACAATGTTTTAAACCATATAACAATGTTATAAACCATCGTTGAAACAATCAAACCAGTGCTAAACAATTTCAGACTGTTTTGCTTGGTGTTCAAAGTGTTCCCACCAGAGTGTGTTCTAAAAACATCTACAAGTAAAAGAGTTTCTGATGGCGGCCATCTGATCAGGTAAGGCAGTGAGTGGGTAGGGCGACTGAACCGCAGATCCGGCGTTTCGCAGGATTGAAATAAATCTTCCAGCGACTCCAACGGACATCCGTCCTCCAAGGGCTTTGGGCAAAGCAGACGACCATAGATCTCTTTGGCTCGGGACTGGACACCCTGGCGATACCAACAAGGCCTGATTCCCTTCCATGGGGGCCATGTACTGCAGCAGTCGATATGGTCGCATGGACTGACATGGACCGATCTGTTGGCGACATGAACTGACTCCAACTCTCTCACGTAACTCACCGCTGATATCATCTGATATCCAATATCCATTGAAAAGGACAAAAAATGCAAAAGCAATCAGAGTGCCCCTCCTGCAAGAAGTTGTGGGACAGCAGTATCTTGACTGTAGCACGACTCCTGGGTCACAGGTCCCTAGATTGAGTGTTTCGACGTCTCCCCAGATCGACTGGGGGGCACTAGTATGCACTAGTAGCGTCCTTGCTCCTAATAGTAGTGCCAGGAGCTACTAGTAGCTTCTTGTTCCCAGTTCAATGTGGTTGTAATCACACGGTGATCTCCTGGGCTCCAGGATCAGCATGCTAGCAATGACTTGCTGCGCTGCCGCTGACAAGTGTTCCGGACATTGGTACCTGGAAGTAATATTTTACAGGCATCATTGTAGGTTCAAAAGAAGAGCCATGAAGACCCTAAAGACTAATCACCAGAAATGTCCGACTTGGGCAAGTCAGCCAGTAATCTGACCGCGCCTTCCCCGGAGTATGCAGCGCTTGAGCTCAGACATGCTCTTGCCCTGACAGTTTAAGAAAGGATTCGAAGCGAGTGTGGCAAGATAGAAAGAAAATGACTGCTGCACTGTCCCCGATGTTATTGTTCATGAAACTGAAGGAGCTTACTTAGGACTATGTCCACATAGCACGGCAGTGGCCTTGAAAGGAAGCCGTCCACACAGCATGGCATACAAAGCAATGCCTGAACTCCACACCTGTGCCAAAACAGCTTCAAGTCAAGCAATATTCGGGAAGACATAAGACACAGATTGGGAAGTCCAAGGTGCATCGACTGGAAATCCGTCATAGCCAGCATCTTGCAAAATTTCCGGCGCTATGTACCTGGGCTGTGGCGTGCATTTGCGCCTCTAGTGGTGAGTCAATTTCACTAAATGTTGTCATCTCATTAAATAGTCCCATGCCGACTATTCACTATTCAATTCCTTTACATACAGGCAAACACATGCAAAAGGGATCAAAAAGGCGCCGAAATGATCAGTGCATGGCACGATGGAGTGCCACAGTGATCATGTAGCTTTTTCTCTGGCTGTACCACCTTGAGCGGTGGCACGTTCAGGCAAAAAAGCACTCCGCGGTTGAAGAGAAGCTGGTCATGCCAGCAATGGCTACATTATTGAACATGTGTGTCTCCCTGATGATGGTACTCATGGCTGAGAGCTACGCCGCCGCAACCCCGAAGTCCGCGATCTTTACACAGCCGAAGGGGTCGAGCAGAAGATTCTCCAGCTTGATGTCCTCAAGGAACAAATCAGAACAACATGAAAAATCAGGCTCTTGTGGAGATGCTCCGTCAAGACAGACCTCCAGGCATGCTTTACCATCTTGTTCCTCATGCTTGCACTATCTGGTGCGCTTCCAATTCGTCCCACGGTCCCGGTGAACCACCAGCTTCTTGTGGATGTGATCCAAGCCCTCCAGCAGCTGCTTAAAAAGGTCCTGCAGGCGCGCAGCTGCTTTCCATTGCGCAATGCAAAGCCGTTGAACAAAAAAGAAGATCAAGAGATGAAACAAAAAGAATGTGTTTGGCCCCCTTTGAACAGGGCCCTGTTTTTCATCTAGCGGCAAAGAGCTCTTACCAGCGATTTCTTAGAGCCTTAGATTCTCAGATGGTCATGTGCCTGTTCCTAGCAGTCCTTCGCACAAGGCTCTGCCAGGCGGCGGCGAGTTCGAACGTATTTCAATAGGTCGCCACCAGAAGCAAACTGGCGAGATCAAAACTGGTCGAACATGTTCAAGCTCCATTAATTGGCACGTGGCGAGAATCCAAGCCAATGCCAATGAAAGCTTTGTTCATGCCCGTGAAGAAGCTGGAATTATATGCACAGCAGAATCAGAATTGTTTTCAAGTTTCAAGGTCCACCATTTTCCTGGGAGATCCTCAGAGAAGCCCTTCTGTCCAACATCAGGAAGGGAAAAAGGCACAAACACGATCAAACCCTTGTTTGCAGGTGTTCATGTCTTTGTCAAATCTTCCACTACCTGAAATTCACCAACAGAAGTGTGCTCCTGCAGATGTGCCTCCATGACTAAAACAATCTGCGATGGTGTTTCAACCACCTGGCAGCCGTTTCAGGCGAGGGATCGCCCAACCACGCTTTGTAGAGTCACATCATCACATCCCAAGAATTCCGTGTCCAGAGTCAAACTTGCCCATTAGAGTCATCATTAGAGATATTTTATCTTATTTGTAAGCAGTAAGCAGCCATCCCACGTGGAAGCCGCAACAGCTGCTGCGACTCTCCCTCGCACTCCTCTTTCCACAACCTAAAGAACCTTGATGACGAAACCTTGGAATTCACCTGAAACATCCTGAAACTATATATCTGGAACCTGCCCACCCAAGGCCACTTAGCTACGCGGCGTGATGCCTCTGTGCGTGCAAAAAGTATAATTCAGTATAATAGCATGATCTGATGAAAGCACGGGACCAACAAGAACAAAAAAGAACGAGAAGAACGGTCACTGTCACTGACATGACATGACTGCAATAATATGGCGTAAATCTGAAACTAGAAGCAGTTGGGGTACAACCCAAAAAGCACCGGACTGGTCAAAGGAAGCTGAAGGAAAGTGCCCACTGGTTGAGCGGCTGCCGACTGCGCCCGCGGTTGGAACGGCCTCAAAGAGCTGAATGACGTTTGCATGGCCAGTGAGCCGTTTCATGATGGCCACCTGGACATCCGAATCACCAAAACAGCGGGAACAGCGACCCAAAAAGGGCCATGGGGCAAAAAAGAACGTTGAGATGCGAAGTGCGAAGTTGACAGGGCATCATCAGACCGTTGGCAAAACACTGAAGGGGTCGCATTGCTGGAAAATGGATGAAAATGCTGCCGGCTCCACTTCCTGCAAGAAGCACTTCTTGCTTCCAACCTTCCAGGTGTTTGCACTCAGCATGCAAACGAAACACTCAGGGCAAGTAGATCACAAAAGGTGTCTCACACACGAGATGATGAATAATAAAGTAAGACTAACCAAGAATAGCAATGGTGAGAGGGGAAAAATTGAAAAAATACATATGTTCTGAAATGAAGCAGCAGCCGAAGGTGGTGAAACGCTAGCGCCATTTACATAAGTTGGCACGCATCCGGTCTAAAACAAGTTGCTTGGCCTCATTCATGCGGCGTCGATCACATTGTTTCATAGCTGAAAGCTCCTGGAGGTGGCAACTATGAGCCCATCAGATTCAACTTTCATTGCCCACAACAAACTGAGGACACGCACACTTATATAAATATACAATGTATAATATATATAATACTTGATTTTCTCTGTTGACCCCGTGCATGGCCGATTTACGTGTACTGTGTGTATCATCATTATTCTTAAACTGAGCTGCCGGGCCGCGACATGCGCAACCTTCAAAGATTCTCCAATTTAACGCACTACAGCTCGTCCTCTGTCAATTTATGCACTGCCACGTTGACCTCTCAACGTGCAATTGATGCGTCTACAAGACAATTCAGAGTTGCAAGCGGCTTCTGCATTGATGTGATCTGGAGTCCGACATGACCGACTTGCTCCAAGCTGTCTGTGCATGTCGCTGAGCTTCAGACTTTGCCAAAGGCTCCTTTACCAAGAAGTCTGCCAACTGCGTAGAAGTCCAAACTGTTCACATTGGACCTTTTGCGAGTGTTGCTCAAAGCAAAGTGGCATCGCAACACTCGTTCACAAGATGTCTAAAGCAGCGTTTGTTTTAAGACAAAACGCCCTATTCTATCTTATCGAAATCTCAAGAGCTGGCACACATGTCTTTTCTCTTCCACGTGTTGAGGCACAAGCTGCCCGGGCTGCCCATTCTGGAAGTGTGCCGCCAAGGACTTCAGCAAGCCTTGGCGGAGAGATCAGGCTCTGAAACCCGAAATCCATGGTGCCAGACACAGACGTTCTCGGGGCTGATGTGACATGGTGCCGGGAATTTCCTCAGGCAAGTGCCCTCACGGTCTTTCTTGATTGACGGAGCCTGCGCAAAGATGCTGACCACGCACGAACGGAGTGTCCAAAAAAGAAATGCTTCTTGCTGCGGGGGAAGCACCTGCAAATGAAAAAAAAGAGGCATGCATAGGCATGCGCTGTTTCAACAGACTCCTAGGCGCGTCCGAGATGTCTTCCAAACACGAAAAGGCTTGTGCTGAATCTGTGCCTTGTCTTCGGCAGGGCGGCCTGAACAGGGACTGAAAGAGCTTTGAAGCTACTAGGAACAAGTGCATCGCTACTAGTAACAAGTGCCTTACTAGTAGTAACGAGTGCATCGCAGTAGCTTCTTGTTGCCAGGCAATTCACCGTTCAGGTGTCACTCTGCAGGCGTCATGTCTGAATCAGAGGATCAGCAGGATAACACCTAGTTAGGATTCTAGCTGCACCTACTGTATTTGTATTATTCACACACACACACACTGTAGATTTACTATGATTTACTCACAAATGCAGAAAAATCTGGTCACAAATGATATATCTACAGTATCAATTTCTATCTTTCCCTCATTACATGTCCGAAGTCCGAGGCTCCCAGCTTGGATAGCTCGGATGGCTTGGGTGGCTCGGGACTCGCCCTGTTCCAACCTAGTTGTTGGAAGCTTCTCCACCGTTGTCATTGAGTTGGCTGAGCACATAAGGTTGACGAAACCACAGTGATCGGTCATTTCTCGGAAACCTGCTTCATCCTTTCTCCAGGCCAAGAGTCATTCTACCCAGCGGTCGGCATTTGCTTTTGGAAGCCCCAAAGTTTAGAGCAAACAAGGTGTGCAAGCATCGAGGTCAAATAATTGTCTGACGGTTCTGATAGGGCTTGGTCCCGGGAAGGTGGCATGTCTTACATGCAGCTTCTGACAACTTGCTGAAGCCATAGACTTCTACATTCTGCAGCACTCCTCGGGCTCACACCGGGCGAGCAGATTGGCAACGCACCGGTGCCTGGCAAAGGGCACACGGAATCTGCATACCAAAGCCATTCAAAGTCCATCACGATCCTATTCTTCCTTCCAAGTCCCAAGCTGGAACTCTGCCAACAGGCCATTAAGGGTCCCTTGTGAATGCCGGTGAGGAGATGTGAGGAGTGTGGGGATGCGCAAGGGTCGCTACTTTCCCCGATCTTGGCCTCGGCTGAGAGTTCTCTGCGACGCGCCTGAGCAGCTCACTTCCAAAACGCGACCAACCGGACGATCCATAAACATCCCCATGACTCATGACTGAATAGTCATTACATCGTAATAAATAGTTATAGACAATAACCAACCACAGACTATAACCATTTATAACCATAATATGATCTCTTGTCCCGGGTCCCCAGTGTCTATCAAGCCTGTCGAGAAGAACTGTCCACTCCCTCAGCGTCAGGCAGAGATTCCCGAGGCGGTTGCTGGGGAATCGGGCCATCGTAACGGCCTTAGCCATCGCACAGAACTCAGGGCATCTTAGAGCCTCTGCATGAAACTTGAACTGGAAGGCAAAAACTGCTCTTGGAACACGGACTCTCCATGGCTTGGACCTCAGACATGGTAAAGACATGTAAAACCTCTAGATTGAAACAAACCTGATCCTTGGAATGTCTTCGAGCTCTGGATCAACTCAGATGCATGCCCCTCTGGGCCTGCAGTCGGCTTTCAGTCAAAACTCTCATCAAAGTTTGTGACGGTTCATTGGAGAGTTCTGCCGTGGCCTCACTTCGACCATCTGGTGGCCCCTCAGTTGAAAGGGTCGAAGCACGACTTTGCGGCACTTCTGCATCTGGTTCACTTCGACTATGTGTGGTTCTTACTCTATTACGCTGACTTCCAACGCACTCTGTGCTAGGTTCTCCTCCAGGCCAAACTTCTCAACACCAGGTGTCTCTTTTTAGGCACTGGCCACGCCAGGTGGATGGCGATCAGAAAATGAACCTGGCGGTCTCTCCATGCTGATCCCTCAGTTTCTTCAGCAGAATCTGCCACGAGGTCACACTGCACCTTCGCTACAAATCGTGGATGATGCACGAGGAACAGCGGTCGAAGCCACCTGATTCCCCAAACGGCTCGATCGACCCCAAGGTGAGCTGACTCCAAACCCAGCCACTGATGTTGAGAGCTACGTTGAAGGCATCCCTTTTAGTCGGTGCCAACCAGTGAACACATGACAAGACTTTGGCAAATCCAATCTAACCCTTTCCTACCCTCAATCTACCTCATCAACAGCACAGCTTGATGTCTACAAACGTCAACCGGTATCATTGCAGCCTCCACTTAGAAATAGAATCGTTTGAATCTTTCTCTAGTAGCGCGTATCTGTCAATGCTTTTTCTCGAATCTATCTGTGAGGCAAACTAGCAATGCCTTTTCTCGACGTTACACACTTGTGCAATTGCCCACTTGCCACTTGCCATCAACTTCCACCGAGCGTTGGTGTCTTACCACTATCTTGAAGCACAATCTGAAGCAGAGCAGTCCTGCCTCAGAGGGCGGAGTAGCCTCGGTTGGAGAGCTAGTGGCTTCTTGTTACTAGTAGCGACGGCCTTCAACCTAATAGCGATGGCCACCACCTAGTAGCTTCTAGCTACTGGTGGGTAAAATCTCAGCAAAGTGGCCGAATCACTTTGTGAGACCTCGTTCTTGGGCACCTCCAAAACGAGAAACAAGTGTCATCAAGGGGGGCGGTTGTGAGGAACTAAACGATGACACAATTGATTTGGTTTTTAAGCTGTGCAAGCATCCCGCGCACAGCAAACAGGAAGCCTTGCGCAACTTTGGCTCCTCGTTCCTCACGGCATGGGTCTCAATCTTAAGCAGAAGCCTATGCACTCGCAGGGCTTTCCAAGTCCAC